CACCATAAACACTCAAGCCAAGTAAAAGATCACAGCTCTATTTTAGCCTTCTTCCTGCTTGTACAGAGCCTCGATGTTAGTCAGAGCTACTAAGAAAGCTTAGAGTATTTTTAGAACTTTTCAGGACATATCCATAGCCTTGAGCATGCATACAGCCCTATATATGTAAATGGCATTCTAGATTCCCAGGAATATATCAAAGCTTTCAAAGTCTCCTATAGATACCTCATCCCCTAGCTTTTTCTTTTAGGCTTTTTGGGTAGCCTATTATTTGCTCCAAAGGGTACTGCCTCAGGCAGGTGTGATGTTAAGCAATTGTCTCTGATTTTTTTTTTTTAAAGGCAGGATTTCCGTATGTTGTCCAAGCTAACCCCAAACTCCTGGGTTAAAGTCAGTCTTCTGCCTCAGCCTCCTGAGCAGCTGTAATTACAAGTGAATGCCATTGTGCTCAGCTTCCCTCTTATTGTTTTTTTGACAAATACTCTGAAAAAGGGCTATTTTCATGGCATAAGCTCCAAGACAAATCAAATAAAGACAGCTTTGGCAAACAAGGTCTTCCAGGCAGCTACCAGAACAAGCAAATAATGACAATTCTCTGGGAATGGGGACTTGAAGCTCTAACACTATTTTTCCCCTTTTAGTGCTACCAGGCTGCTGGCTTTTACTGTAAATGCAGGATGTTGGTTTTCAAGGCTACTACAGAGCTGAGAAGAAGGAATGAGAATACAGTAAGTTAAATTGTCACAAAGTTTATTGTTTTGAACAAGAGTCAGCACTCTTGAAGGCTGGACTAGTATTCCCTAGACTATTGAAAGCATTTGCTTAATTTTTAGAGCTATAACAAAGTTTATTTTACTTTTATTATTTTTATTTTTTGCTAGTGTTTTCATCGCGTTTATGGAGAAGATGATTTTCAGAGGTTCTGATAATCACATAATTTTTCTGTTCAGCTTTTTAGGTGGAATAATTTTTAATGACTTACCTTCAAATTCACTAATTCTTTTCCTCTACCATATCCAATGAGCTGCTAACTCCATCTAGTCAGTTTTGTATTTCAGATACAATAATTTTTGGTTTTATAATGTCCATTTGTTTTTCTTTACAATTTCTATTTCTCTGCTAAATTCCCTCCAACTATTCACTCATATAGCATTCTTTTCCTTTAAGTCCATGGGCATGTTTATAAGTGATTTTAAAGTATTTATAGGGTAAATCCCACATCTAGTCATTTTAGGGTTTATTTTTATTGCCTCCTTTTTCTTTTGAGCATAAGTAACATTTCCTATTTCTTTGAATTCCTAGTGTTGTTTTTATAGTATACTGGCCCTTTTAGAAGACATATTGCGATATTCTAGATTCTGTCATCATTCTCTGAAGAGTGATGATTTCTCTTCTAATAGGTAAAATAATGGCTAATTATTGTCACTAAATGGAGGTTTAGTTTTATATTTCATTAGAAATTGTTTGAAGTTTGCCTTTGGTCTTAGACTAGGATATAGCTTTTCTCCTAAAGTGTCACTTTTGTCGAGTTTCAATGTAAAGCCTAAGGTTTTTACCAAGACCCTTTTATTTGGTAGGATTCTAACCATGATGTCGACCAGTTATAATGTCTGCTCAGCTTCTTCATTCTTTCAATTGTTGCTTTCCTCCAGGGTCTTTGAAAGCTTCTTTGTAAACACAGTTTGGAAATCAATAATTTGAAGAAATTTATGTACCAATTTGGGAGCTCCTTCATCTCTAACTTTCTCCTTTCTGAGATTTCTCCTCTCAATTTCCAGCCACACCAAGAGCCTTGAACTCTTGTGATCTGATACATCAGGCCAATAAAACTGAAGCTTTTTATGAATCCCCTCCCATGGTGTCAAGCAAGAACTTTCAGGGAAAAAAGTGAGTGGTTGGGTGAATCTCACGTAGTATAATACTATTCCATCATGGACAAATATTCTTCAGTTTCTGTTTAATTTTTGTCACTCTATAGTGCCTTCATTTAAGGTAGATTTATATGTTTTGACCAGGATTTAAAATTACTATCTATTGGAAAGTCTTGCTTAGTTATGATACTCTACCATTTCTAGGACCAAATCAGCTCTGTTAAATTATTCTTAACTTAAAAAATGGACTTACAAATCCAGTAAAACTCTGCTATCATTTTTCTTTTTATAAAATAGAATATGTATAAGGTAAGACAAATAGGAGTTCCAGAACTATAACATAGAAGGAATCTTGGATCTAGAAGATGTTTCTTGAAACTCTGTATACATGGTAGGCAAGTTATTTTTAGATAAAGTTATATTTGGAGTAGGTGGTATGATTGAGTGGTTGCCATACTAGAGAACAGTACTGTGGAGAAGATGACTTCTTAAGTTAATCTGGTAGGTCATTAGCTGAGATTCTCTTCATTATAGACCTTCAAAGAGGTCTCATTACTGGAAGACAAAGAAATAATCTTGACTCAAAGAAAGGACCTTATTTAAGATAGAACCTAAAGAAAGAGCTGGAATAAAGTGCAAGTACATACACTTAAGATTCACTCATATCTATACTGAGCAACCAATATGGATTTTAATTGAACAATTTGCCAAATATTGGGCAGCTTTTCTTTTTTGTGCCATTTTTAAGATTTGTGACAAATAGTACTTAACAGTACATCAATTTTGAGGTAATTCTTTGATAAATTAAGGGGACTCTCCATATTTCCATTTGGTAATATATCATCTCTGTAGGGGGAGGCTTTCTTTCAGGGTTATTCTGTGGTTTTCCTTCATGTATATATTTTTGTACTCATTTAACTTTCTCAGTGAAAATGTATGTAAGGACAACACTCCTTAAGTAAGACATTGATCATCATTCAAGATTAAATTTAGTGAATTTGATCATTTAATGTAAATTAATCACATTAAATCATACTTCAATGACAGTGTGCCGATCTTTTAAAATGGATAATAGAGACAATATTCTGTTACAACCACTACTTAAGCCATTAAAATCTCTTTGGTATCTTTGGCCTATATGAGTTTTAAAAATGTTTTCCATACCCAGACCATGTTTAATTACATTCAATCCAAGTAGCAAATTTTATGTACAGTGTATGATCTGTATATAACAAATAGCATAACTATCAATTTTAACATCAGCAAACAATATCAGATTCTTACATAATTTCATTTAATTTTAAAACTCTTTTGTGGTATTACTATTCCAATTTAATAGACGAGTAAAATACAGTTTAGAGAGATTAAGTGACTTACCAAAGTTACATAACTAACACATAACCAGGTCTTCTAACTAAGACTAGATATCTTTCCAATTATACAACTCCCATAGTTATTTGGGAGAGCTCTTTAACCATTACCAACTTAAGAAATTAAAACTTAACATTTTACTGTAGGTGCAACAGAAATATTTAGAAATATGCCACTCTGACCCTCACTTTAAAATGAATCAAACAGATGGTATACTTTCATTTAAATACAACAGATTTGAGTAAATCAGACTAAATTTAATCTTGAATGATAGTCATTTATTTACAAGTGTTTCAGACATTTCAAGATACAAAGAGGACATCTATCCATTTAAAAACATCATTTTTTTTAACTTTTGGTGTTTTTACAAACAGGTGTTACTACATTCTTTATTTTCCTCTTCCTCTCTTACACTTCTTTAATCAGACACCCATCTACAAAATTACTCTAACCACCACTGCATGCTGTTTAGCCTAGCCCTTGCTTGCACCCACTTTAGAGGACAGTGGTCTTAGTGCCTACAAGCAGGCTGCAAAAAATACACAGCTTCAAATGGAAAGTAAAGAAATGCATGAAATGGACAGGAAAACATTAAAACCATTTTCCCCTGGCAGAACACACAGAGCCAATGCAGTTTGCAGAGCTATCTTGTTCTCTTATCATTAACATCAGCAAAGAGGAAGTCCAGAGAATGAGTGTAACCGCTAATGGTAAAAGCAGCCCTTTACAAGAAACTTCCTTTCTATACAGCAATAGCCATTTTAAAAGTGAAAGACAGTCTCGGGTACCTCTCCGCCTTGAATTGAAAAGTTTTGGAGGAAAAACGAATTCAAGACCCAAACCTCCTGAACACCTTAAGCTCACAGTTTTATACGTTTTCTTTGATTTCTGATTTTCTACCCTTGCTGCTGCTGCTCAGCTAGATCATTCCAGCCTTACCTGTTGTTCTAATTCCAGACCTGGGCTCTCTGCCTTCTCCTTCGTTCCATCCATCCCAGACTGACTCCTCTCCTTCTCCAAGGCAAAAAAACTAAACTAAACTAAACTAAACTAAAAACACTTCCAAACCTACTCTCCTGTGGCGGATCCGCCTCCCACTACACTCTCACAATCTCAAGTTGGAGGTTCTGTCAGATTTACTCCCCCTTCTCGGGCATGGAATGTCACTTCTGCCACTGGCCGGATCAGCCTCTTCCTGTTTCAGATCCTCTCCGGTTCCCATCTGCTCCTCTGCTCCGCATCTTCCCTTCTCACACCACCATCCAAATGTCCTCAGTTCTCAGGCACACACCTCTGCCTGTTTCATACTCACGGACCCTCTTCTCTCAAATCTACGGTGCTTTTTTCCTCAGACTCCTTTGCTTCCCAAACTCAAGCCTCCCTCAGATCACCTCCCTGGTCAGACCCACGCCCCCTTTCGGGGCCCTCCATGGTCAGACCCACTCTCCCTTCATGTCACCTCCCTGGTCAGACAGCCTCCCTCAGATCACCTCCCTGGTCAGACACACGCCCCATTTGGGCGCCCTCCACTCCACCGTCAAATCCGCGCCCGCCCCTCAGGTGACCTCCCTGGTCAGACACACGACCCCCCTTAGATCACCTCCCGACTCAGACCCACGCCCCCTTTGGGCGCCCTCCACGGTCAGACCCACGCTCCCTTCCTGTCACCTCCCTGGTCAGACACAGCCACCCTTAGATCACCTCCTCGGTCAGACCCACGCCGCCCTTGGCCGCCCTCTTAGGTCCACGCCCCCCCACCTGGATCCGCCGGGCTGCGCCGATCTGCGTCTGCTGCACGAAGGGATTCGGCACCGGCGGCGGGAAAAAGGACGCCTGGCGCGGCACCATGGACGGCCGCACCCCCGCGTCGCCAACACCTGCGCCCGGAACAGTGGCAGCCACCGCCGCCGCCTCAGCGCACCGGCTCATGGTGAGCCAGGCGTGGGACCCGACAGAAGGTTCCAAAGAGGAGCGCGCTATAGAGCGCCACAGTCGAAACCCAGCCGGCGTCTCACGGAGTCCCAGCCAAAGGCGCCTCTGGGGAACCTCTGCGCAGGCGCGGGTCACCGGGACGCGGCTGTTGTTTTGCCCCGCCCTGGTCCCACCCTCTTAGGTATCTGGCTCCTCCCTTTTGGCGATAGTACCCGCCCCCTCGGAGGTGAAGGCTTTGCAATGTCCCCATTCTTTATCCTTAACACTGGACTGAGAAGCGCTTTAGGCAGGGTTCTAGGCCTTAGGGTCAGGCAGACCTGGATATTCGATCCATTTTATTGGTCTGTGATGTTGGCCAAATCGCTATCTCCATGAACCTTAGATGCTTTCTGTAAAATGGAGATAAACATAACTCAGGTGATCAGAACCTGGATCCAGAAGTGCTAGAAGAAACCACTTCCCCTGGGCTGTTATTTATGCATTAAATGCATAAATATTTCCAGAGTGGGGTTTACCTGTGTTTGATTCTTGGTGTATGTTTTGTTTTTGCGTAAACCAATCCGAGTTGACTATTTGTTGGTTTCAACAAAAAAAGTCCTGATACAGAAATTGGTAGCAGGAGTGGAATCTATCACGCTCTAAACATATGGACTGATGGAGGGTGATCGTTCTCCAGAGGAAAATTGAGCTGCTTTTACTAGAGAAGGCGAGAGCAAGTTGCCCTCCACACTAGATGAGGAACCTGACCCAGAAAAGGGAAATGACTTGAGAGCTGTGGCTCCATTTCACTCTGAGGAAGTTCAGGACCCTGTATGGACCTATGGGGGGGGGGGAGAAGAAGAGAATCTGAGAACAGTTGGTCATGCCCTGAGGGGCTGGAATGAAAAGGTGGAAATCATAAACAACTCATCCTTGCTGCTCAACCCTGCTTATAACAAGCAGGTGGGCCAGGGTGAGAACTTGGAACAGCTGCTCCTCCAAACATATGCACTGAATCTCCCAATCTTCCATTGCTACCAGACAAACGTGTGGCTTGAGTTAGCCGCTTACCTCTGTGAACTTGTTTCCTTGTCTAGAAATGGGAGATTAATTTTTACCCCACAGGGTTAGGGTAAGGATTAAACAAAATAACGTACACATAATGGTCACAGAAAATCACTCAAGAAATGGCATATTTTAAGCACAATGATGTTATGGAACAGCTACATTTTCTAATATAACAGAGTACCTCAACAACAGCGTATTCTAGCCATGATATAAGATTCCCCGTCCTAGGGGGTCTTTAAGCTGGGGCTGGCACACCCTTGAGGCTGTTTAGCCATACACTTGCACAAAAAAATTATGTTTCTAGGACTCTCAGGAACCTGAGCCAGGGGGCAGACCCTGGAAGGAGATAAGAGGACTTCAGGTCCACTGAGGTCACCTCTAGAAAGTTCTGTCTACTTCTTAACCCCACCATGATAGGCCTGAAGCAATGCACTATCGGACTATCAGAGTCAGAAGGGGCCTCTGAGAAAACCCAGGCCTTAGATTTCTCTTTGGCAGTGGCTCCATTAACTTCTATATCAGAGGAGATTAGGAGGAGAAGGAGTCTAATAGGAAGGAGAAATAAGGAGCTTATCCATTAACACTAGCTGTGTTTAGAAGCAAGCTATTACTTCTCTCCTAGGACTGTTTACTTGGGGGTGCTGGAGGTTAAAGTTGCTGATGGGGCTCTGGGCTCAGGGCTAAACCTCCTTCTCTTGGTCATCCTTTGGCCTTAACGCACGTTCTGTTAGCTAATAGCTACAGGACCCAGGGCAGATTACTTCTGTCTGCTCCTCAGTTTATTCATCAATAAGACTCAACTAGTAACAGCCTTTCTCTCTGGGTAGTTGTAAAGGTTACATTGATGTGAGTGAAGAGCTGGCATAAGCATTTTAATGGAGGGGGATATTATTGTTGTTTCTTGTTATTATTAGGGGTAGCATTAGAATTGCCAATTGCTAACGAAGGAACAAACTCAGAGAGAAGGTGAATGGTGAACAGACCCCACAGCTAAGAGTTCCTGCTACTTCAGGGCTCTTTCTACAGGACAGAGGGACAGTGAGACAGAAGCTCACCCACCCTGAGGTTCTCTTGCTGTTTGCTTTGGAACCTCTGAGCTTTCTAACAGACTTCACCTGTGCTCTGCAGGAAACAGCGGTTCAGACTTTTAAAATTTCCTCTTCTGGAGGGAGCCACGGCACCTGTCTGTGCTCCGCTAAAACAGATGGCAAACAGTGCCACTCAATTGGTGTCTTTATTCATACTTGTTGACATTTCCCATGGGGAACTGTTGAAGGGAGAGGCAGGGAGGGCCGAGCCGGGAGCCATGGCTTGGCTGTCCTCCATCCAGTGGAGGAAGCAGCTGGGAAGGGACATACTAAAGTGAGTGAACAAGGGAACTGTCGCCGTGTGGACTGAGATGGGTTGTGCAGTGACTTCAGACAACCTGAGTCCTTCCGTCAGGAAATGCAGTTTCAAAGTGGAAAACTAAAAAGACCAAAAGAAAAGGACAAAGTGCATACCAAGCAAATTGCTAATGTAGGGAAGATTCTAAGGCAGCCAGCAGTGAAAAGTATCCAGGGTGGCCACCCGGCCATGCCCCTTCCCACTGCCCTATGCCAAGCTGTTGGGCCACCAGTGCCCTCTTGAGAGTCTCTGTTGGCTCCAAGGGTGCTGTGAGCCACAGAAGGTTGTAGAGAAGAGCCTAAGATGTGGCAGCACCAGGGCAGCCCAAAGCAGGGCTGCATTGAAAATATCAAAATATCTCTTTAGGAGTGGCTCGAGGGTTGGTGGGTTTGGAGGGGGAAGGGCACCTGGGAAAGATACCAATCAGCACCTAACTTGGGCACAGGGCCGAGACACTCCCTGGAATCTTAAATTCCCAGATGGGAGTGAGAATGCTGGTTAAATACAGAGCTGCGGGCTGGGCTGCCAGGTCCTTCCCTCCCCACTGGCCCCTCTCTGGTGCTCAGGGCCCAGGGTGTAGAAGGCACTGCAGAGGAAAGGCCTGGAAGAGCCAGGGCCTGCTCAGCAGCCCAGCCAGTCCGATTTGATGCTTCCAAACTTCACGCTCTTCAGACTTTGGTTCTCCAGCTTCAGGTAATATGCACCCTTGAAGAAGTAGCTGTGACCTAGGACAGAGAAAGAAGTCTGACTTTTGGCACACAGAAGGTTCTGGGAGCTTTGAATGTCTGCCTGGTATAGGGCAGAAGCTTTTATTTATTTATGTATTTATTTATTTATTTTTTGAGACAGAATCTCACTTCATCATCCCTGGTAGAATGCCCTAGCATCATATCTCACAGCTACCTCATAATTCTTGGGCTCAAGCAATTCTCTTGCCTCAGTCTTCCAAGTAGTTGGGACTACAGGCACCTGCCACAATGCCCGGCTGTTTCTGGAGATGAGATCTCCCTCTTGCTCAGGCTGATCTCCAACCTGTGAGCTCAAGCAATCCTCCCACTTCCGCCTTCCAGATGCTGAGATTACAGGCAAGAGCCACCCCACCCGGGCCTGGGGAGAAGCTTTTAAATCAGAAGAGACGCCTCTGAGATTGGAGGGAGGGAAATAACTGCAGAAATAAACTCTCTTAGTTTCTGCTAGCTCATCTCTAAGATGAGGGTGAAGATACCAACTCCGTAGGTTTGTGGTAAGGATTCCATCAGATAATATATGCTATTATTAATAATAACAACCCCACTTAGCACAAGCACCAAGCTAAGCACTTTCCATGTACGAGAAGTGGCAAAGAGGCTTCCAGCCCTACCAACCCCACAGATGGGTTTTATTTGACTCACACAAGTTGTTTTGTTTTGCCTTTAAATCAGAGTAAGTTGCTAAGATGTTAACATCTGGAAAAGGCACACAGAAATACATATTTCTGGCTCCTTTTACAAATAACTAGACTATCCAGGCACAGTGGCTCATACTTGTAATCCCAGCACTCTGGGAGGACAAGGCCTGTGGATTGCTTGAGCTCAGGGGTTTGAGACCAGCCTGAGCAAGAGCAAGATCCTGCCTCCTAAAATAACTGGGTATTGTGGAGGGCGCCGGTAGTCCCAGCTACTCGGGAGGCTGAGGCAAGAGGATTGCTTGTTGCTTTGCTGTTTACTTTGGAACCTCTGAGCTTTCCAATACATATCACCTGTGCTCTGCAGGAAATAGAGGTTTAGACTTTTAAAATTTCCTCTTCTGGAAATTTTCTCATTCGATCTTTACAATAATCCTAAGACATAGTTATTACTGAAAAGCCCAGTTTGAGGTTGCTGTGAGCTATGATGCCATGCACTCTACCCAGGGTAACAAAGTGAAACTCTGTCTCAAAAAAATAAATTAATTAATTAAAAATAATTAAGAAATTAATTAGACTATCTAACAACACTGGCCCTTTTTCCTCCTGCAAGCCAATAATCATCAGAAACTGAGAAGCACCTGTCCCTGTAAATGAGCCATATGCTGGCTAGTTCACCACAGACCCCTCCCTTCCCTATCGTCTGCCACTCCCTGCTTCATTCATTTATGCTGCCTGCCTGGCCCCCCGGAGATTTTGGAATTTGTGACTGCAGACATACAAGATCTCATTTACTTTTTAAAATATCCTAGCACATAATAGGTGCTTAATAGATGTTTACTCTTGAAGATAATCCTTAATCTGGCACCTGATTGTACAGCACATTTTCTGGCCATATAAGACATTTAGCCACTAGAGGTCACAAGTATATAGGAGGCAATCAAAAAAAAAAAAAAAAAAAAAAAAAACCTCTGTGGAATTTAATTAAAATCTCTTCTAAAAAGCCAAATTGGACTTATTTCTAGAGCCCTAGAGAGTTCATAGAAGCCGCCTCAAGCATATGGCTTCCCAACTCCAAATTCTATCCCTCGCTGATACTGGTTCTGTTTTATTCAGCGAGGGATCAGGGCAAAGCGGGTTGAGTGGGGGATCTCGGCCACATGGGCAACAGAGCATGACAAAGTTTGCTTTGTCTCAAGTGGAGGCATC